AAGTGTAAATAAAGAAGAGTTTGAAAGTCACCAAAACGACTCCTTTGTCATTTCCCGCCGAAACTGAGGGGCTGCCCCAACTGAGGGGAGAAGAACCTATTCACAAATACCTGCTGGAGTATCTTTCTCAAAGAGGTAGGTACTTACTCATTTATTTATTTTATTTATACCCCGCCTATCTGGTCAATATGACCACTCTCGGCGGCTTCCAGACATGTAAAATACAGTAACATATACATATAAGAAATAAAAAGTAAAAAAATCAATAAAATACTATAAGCAATAAACAATAAGCAGCCACCAGTTCCTCCCAGTCTTTGTTGTGACGGGTGGCCACTCCCCAAGGGAGGGCCAGAGAAATTCAACTAGAAACAGGGCTTTCTCAGCAGTTGTCAACAGTACTCCAGAATATTCTCCTCTGCTTGTAGAGGTGCACCAGAGATCCATCAAGGTACCGTTTAATTTTCAGAAAGCTGGTGAAAACAGAACTCTATAAAGAAGCCTTTAAGAGCATCCTTCCCTTGCACCAAGTATTGTTTTTTGTCCCTGTGAAGGAGAACTGGGGGGAGAAAGTGCACCGTCTAGGAAAGAAATGCCATAACACAGAAAAGAGATGAAAAAGGAGATAATTAAAGAAGAAAGGGTTAAAATGGAGATTTGCTTAGTGGAGGAAGAGAAAGGAAAAGGAGTCAGAAATCACGGTATGGGAGCAGATGATTTAGCTGTGCTAAATACTGTAAGAGACAAAAGATAAAAAATGCCAAGGCAATTGCAATTATAGGGCTGACTCTAGAAGATCGTCTCCTAATACATATAAGAGGCCAAACTTCTGCAAGAAAGGCATGGGATGACTTAAGGGGACTCTTTGTACGAGTCGGTGTAGGAAGCCAAATTCAAATTGCAAAAAGGCTATTATTCCATACAAGATTGCAAACAGGTGGAAACATTCTGCAGCCCTTAGAACAAATGAAAACCATGATAATGGAACCGAGAGAAAAACATAACATTTACTGAAATACAAGCATTCATAATTCTATCATCTCTAGACAAAACATAAGATCAGTTTGTGACACATTTAGAAGTACTCCCACAAGCAGAGCTAACAGTTTTAAATGTGACCAGCATTCCTGCGCTCGGGGGAGCCAAACAACATCTGCCTTCTACATCTCACTCAAGCCTGGAAATAACAGGCGGGAACACCTACTCATTCACCTCTCCATCGTGGAGGAATGGAGCCGAGGTCCCTGCAGCCGGAGCAGGTTGCAGAAGCTGGCTCTGGCTGTGGATTTCTTGAAGGAACAATGGGCCCTGCTGGATCCTGGCCAGAGGGCTCTGCACGTGGAAGTCACAGAGGAGACTTTGAGCCATGTGGCCTCTCTGGCTACTTATATGGCAGAGGAGTGAGGAAGAAGATGGTATCATCTCCTGGAGAGCTCTCATCGATCAAAGTGGAAATCTTGCTTCCCACATGAGAATCCACCCAGGAGAGAAACCATATAAATGTTTGGAATGTGGAAAGGGCTTTACTCACAGTGGAAGTCTTGCTCACCACCTAAGAATACCTAATCTAAGCTGCAGGGAAACAACCAAGAGCAGCAAAATGGAGCCCACCGGATGTTGCAGAACTACAAATGACATCGCCCTGACCCATCACAGCCCACGGCGAGCCAAAGTGTGAGTTACAATCCTACAGCATCTGCAAGACCACTTTTCTCAGTCTTAATGTAACAACTCTTCTCCCTGGATCAATTCCCCTTGGTATTTTTAAAAATCTATGGAGGAAATATTTTTCTCCAACTGATAGGGGAAAAAAGAGAGAGCCAGTGTACTGTAGTGAATAGAGTATGTATTGGACTGGGACTCAGGAGAGCTGGGTTCAAATCCTTAGCTCAGCTATGTGAACTCGCTAGGGGATGCCACTGGTAAGATCGCCTGCAAACTCTTATACATCTTGGAAAACCCTACTAGGATTGCTGTAAGTCAGCATCTAGTTAGCACAGTATAACACATTAAATATGTTAATGACATTGTTATTTATTATTATCATCGAAACAAGGCTTTCTTGTAGTACCAAGAGGTGCACATGGTGTCATAGAATACCATCTGAGACAAAGCTAGGGCTTATTCGTTCACAAAGATATTTGTAACTAATTAGTTCTGCTCCAGAGTGATTGGTTTAGTTTCTGCTGTTAGCTCTTCAATGCTGTTACCAGCTATGCTGAATTTTTAAAAAAGGAATATATAAAGGGGGAAAAATAATAAATGATATGTACCACAATATGTGCATAGTTTTTAATAAGACAATGCATTGTATCCAGAAGTGGTTCTGTAGTAACAACTGTGCACAAACAAGGTAGTTTATGGAATTTATGTCTGTATTCTTTGTCCGTCATAGCCCCTTGAAACCTGTTTCAAAAAGGCTGAGTGGCCCTCTGGAATAACATAGGATGGCTATATTTTTCCATTACTCTTTCCTCTGTCCAACTGTCCACACAAACTCTCAAGAGACCAGCAGGGTAAATAATCTAGTGGGCTGCTGGAGGAACCCCATCAAATTGCTACAGTGCTCCCTTCCTTTCCTTCTGATACATCCTGGTGGCCCCCCCAAATAGAGGGAGCCCTTTAATTTGAGAAGAGCCATGTTTAGATCCAACTAATTGTGTTTGAATGATTTTACAAACAAGGAATGCTTTGTTATTTCATAAAAAATATCTTTACCTCCTAAAATTTAGTTTTGCATTGAAAGAATCAAAATATAGATTATCAGGGGCTAATGGTTCCTTGCTAATTCAGTAATTCTTGATTCTCATTACAAGAATAATGAAGAGTCAAGGAATATTGCTGGAATATCCCCAAGTCATAAATGATTTCACTGCTGCAAAGGCCTGCCAAGCCAAATGCAGATAAGGCATGTCTAACACATAAACTACCTTCTTATAGAAATATTTTTGTCATCGTCTACGAGTCTTGAATAAGACTAAAAAATGAGGTTGGTTTAACAATTATTTGAGTTCAGTCTCTAGAAGCACAAACTAAATCAGTCGGGAGAAGAATTGCCTGGAAAGACAGCATAGCAGAAAACTAACCCTGTACAAAAGACGCCAAACACTCATCATCCTTAACAGATGTTACGAGACAAACACAAATAAGAGGGTTGGGGGGGGGGCTCAAGTATGTCATAAGAAAAAAAAATGTTTCATATTTTTATATATAAAGTAACATTAACTTATCACAACTTCAATTTTAATAAAACACACAAAAAATGGAAGCTGGCGTTGAGGAAGACCACTGAGTTTAAAGTCCAAAGTCTTTGACCTCTTTTAAGACATCTGTCAAGCACACTCTCTTCCAGTATACACCAAAGCTGATAAGTCTAGTTTCGTTTTTAATGCAGCCGACAATTCCTTCGCTAATAGTTCATGTAGTGAGATGCCATCATGAGAATAAACCCAGTTTTTTCCAGTCCAGTCATAGCGCTTTGGACCACTGTAGAAGAACCAAGAAAATTACTGTGAATGCAGTCAAAACACAATTTCTACAACATAGGGAAGAAGGTTGTACATGCTGAATTAAGCCACCTGGGATGTCCAAAGTAACTGTGGCTAAAATGTGAATGAACCACACAGTGAAAACAGGGCAGAATCCAGAAACTTGAGAAATCTTGAATTTTATGGTTGATGTTCACCAGCTTCCCAGATAACAGATTGGCTGAATGTAGTCAGTTCTTCAAACCATGGCCTGCTAATTTATGAGTGAGTATCATGACAGGGACATGGTGGCTGCAAGGTTTTAAGATCAGCAGTTCGAATCCAGGCGACGGAGTAAGCGCCCGTTGCTTATCCCAGCTCCTGCCAACCTAGCCATTCGAGAGCATGCAAATACGAGTCGATAAATAGGGACCACCTCAGTGGGAAAGTAATGGCATTTCGTGTCTAGTCCTGCTGGCCACGTGATCATGGAAACTGTCTACAGACAAACACTGGCTCTACGGCTTAGAAAACTGGGACGAGCACTGGTCCCTAGAGTTGGACACGACTGGACAATTTCTCAAGGTAATCTTGTTCAAGCCACTCTTCTTTCTGCACATAGTATTTTAATATAATGAAATCTGTTATCTCCAAACTGTCAGCTCATGATTTGAAAGAGTCTTCCAAACCAAACTGCAAACTACGATTTGATCTGGCTCTACAAACTCTGGAGAACTCACTGAAACTGTTGTTGCAGGTCCAGATACACTGGCAAGTGATCGTGGTGTGATTAAAGTAAGCTGCAGCTGAACGGGAAAGGACAGAAAGCAAAGTCCTTGTTTGTAGTCTTGTCATCTTAAGGCACTGCACACATAAGTAGCACTAATACATTGTGCAAGAGAGGGTCAAACTAGATAAGACAGAACATGTGTAATTTATATGTGTCTGTCCACACTCCTCTATTGTACCTTTAACTATTCTATTGCTTTTCCCCATCTGGCGATTTGAGCTTGGAACTCTCCAGTTATGTTGGGATTATGAATCGGGGATACAAACGTAGATTAACTGTGCAACATGAAAAATGGTTTAAACTATCTTATTAGCGCATCAAATTTACAATGTTGCTAGTACCTTGTTAAAGTTAGATGGGTGTCAATTTACTTTGTTTAAATGCTCTGCCTGGAGAAAACCATACACAACATTTTTAAGATTCCCAAACTGGATGTCAGATGAAATTTATGCTGACAGAGAGTTGAGGTAGGAGTTTAATTTTGCTACAACTGGATTCTCAAGGCAAACTGGCTTTCAGAAATACCCTTACCTGGTTGGAGAAGACAACCATATCTGTTTGTTTGGTGTCTGTTTATTGATTACGTAAGTCCCCATGTTTCCTCCCAGTTTAACTGTCAATACTCCACTCTACAGAATAAAAGAGGAACAAAATATTTGTTCAGTGTTACAAAAGTAAAATCCCAATTTTTGTAAACGGAAAAGAATAATCAGGATTTTATGTATAAAATACAGACATGAGAAAGTATCGAATTACATATACATTAGTAAGTACAAATAATTTATGATCAAATTGGCATTCAAACCAAGTGGCATATATATTTCATGCTGCGATGCAAAGAAAAAACAGCAGAGTCCTCCTATATGATAACTAAACATTACTATAAGTGGCCTCTCTGGAAACTCCATACTCATAGTGAGTCTTCAGTTGCCTCTTAGGAATCTACAGTCTGTAAGTAATTTTTACACATTGTTGACCATTTGCTTTCAATTGCCTTTTAGGAATCTCCTCTGCTGAGAGGGATGGGACTGTTTGGGCTTTCGATTACAAGATTACAACACTCATCCTCCCTCTCTCCGGGGTGTGCTACTGCACAAACTGGTTTCTCCTCCTAGGAGATAAGAGAGACAATGGGGAAATGGAACTCTTGCTCTCTGGATCCACAGTCAGATTATCAAACTGAATGAACTATGTGGCCTTAAGCTGATTCTAACTCATGGTGACTCCCCCCCGGGTTTTCTAGGTACAGAGTACAGTGGTGCCTCGCATACGCGTTCCCTGTTTAACGACGAACCCGCATAGCGATGCAGATTTTGTGATCACAAAAGCAATCGCATTGCAATGTTTAAATAGGGAAAACATCGCATTGCAATGATCGGTAAGCGTTTCGCTTACCGATCTTCGCATTGCGATGTTTTAAAACAGCTGATCGGCAGTTCCAAAATGGCGGCTGGATGGAGGATTTCCGCACAGCAGTGAGTTCCCCCCCCATAGGAATGCATTAAACAGGGTTTTTCATTCCGTATAGTGACGTTCCCGGATAGCAACGATTTATCCAGAACGGATTATCGTCGCTATGCGGGGCACCCCTGTACTCAGAAATGGTTTATCATTCCTTTCTTTTGGGGGAGGGGTGCTCTGGGACAGCACAGCTTGCCCACAATCACTGTTTTTTCTCTCTCTACAGGACACAATGGGGAATCACATTCACACAGCCCTAGGGTCTGCCTGGGTGTTCTGGATTCACACATCTGGGGTGGGGGAAGGCGAGTGAAGCAAAGCACACAAAGTGAATGTTCAGAATCTAGCGACGGTAAAGAAGATAGGTGCTCATTACACAACCTATGTAAGCAGTAAGTCTGAAAGATGTGTGTATGCACATAAGCACAAGCTTTGTAAATCAGGAAGGGTAGGGTGGTTTCCAGGTTTACTGGCTACACAAAATCGTGATGGCTATTCCCTTGAAAAGCTTTTGTGTGCTTGGGGTTAAGAAAGCTAGAATCTACCAGAAAAAGCTGTGCAAATAAACATTTTAATTTTTTTTTAAAAAAAATGTAAAATACCCCAAAGGACACATCATAATCTTCAGGAGTGAAAGGCTTGTCTGCCAGGTCGTCAAAGAAATCCATTAATGACTCCAGAGTTTCTTCAGCAAGTTTTTCATATGTCGTTTCATCTAATGAGCTGAAAAAGGGATTTAAATAAAGACTCGCTCAGATTTTGTCCTCTTAAAGCAAGAACAACATAAAGAGTCCACAGTAGCACCTTCAAGGCTAACAAAGGTTATTTGGGATAAGTTTTCGTGGAATGTAGCAACACTGAGGAATTGGGGGGAAAAGTCAGGCTAAGGTCAAATTACAGTGGTGCCTCGCATAACGTTTGCTTCATTTAACGTTTTTTTCGCTTAACGTTTATTTTTTCAGAGTCAGATTGTGCTTCGTATAACGTTTTTCCCTATGGGCGATTTTCACATAGCGATTTTGGGACCATGCTTCGCTTAACGTTTTTTTTTGGACTTGCTGAAGTCCGCTTTCCACAGACAGCCTTATGTAGAGTGCATTACAGTAATCCAGCCAGGATGACTGCTACCCAATTAAGCAGTGTTGAGTTTCAAAATTGAGCAGTGTAGATCTGGAACAAACACACCAGCACTGCTTGGAATAAAGCAACGCTGCCGGATAGCTCAGTACGGTTTAGCTATCTGGGTTGTGGAGCCAGAGGTTGGAAGTTCGATTCCCCCACTGTGCCTCCTTGACAGGGGGCTTGCCTTGATGATCTTTTTCCAGCTATTCAGTTCTAAGATTGTTATTATTATTACTGACACAGCTCCTTGAAGCTGGCAACACAAAAGAATGTAAGATATTAAAATAACCAGCTGGAAACATTTCATACGTCTTTTCTTTATGGCTGAGGGCATACTGATGCAATAATGGCTTGGGAAAGATTGGGCTCCTTTATTTCAATATAAATCTCCGTCACCATGCTCGCTAGGTGCTGTTCTGTATCTTGCTATATTTGTATGTGCCTGAGTTTGCATCAACTCATATTAAGAACTGAGCTGTCACAATTATTCTAGAGCTGGAAACCTATAACTATTAAGGAACCTAAGAGTCTCAAAGTTATAGGTTTCCAGTTTCTCTAGGCAATCTGCTTTACAATTTAATCTTAAATATATCATTTACACTGTTATTCGCTTAGGACAAAATCCAGTGTCCTAGGAATAAAGTCCAAATGGAAGATAGGACTTTCCACCCTCTGTCTTCAGTATCTATAGCAAAGGAACCTGCAACATATTGTAAAGATGGGCAAAGTGGATCATCAAAGCAGTTCTACTAGCAGAAATTCTTCATTTGAAATCCACAACAGTTAATCCTTTTAGCAACCTCCGCTGTACAAACGTACCACTGGGCACAAGCTTTAATTTC